AACTGACCTGTAATAACTGACTCATCTCCAGTGTATAAGAACTGGATGAGGGTCTGGAAACTAATGAAGGATGGTTTAACTGACCTGTAATAACTGCCTCATCTCCAGTGTATAAGAACTGGATGAGGTTCTAGAAACTAATGAAGGATGGTTCAACTGACCTGTAATAACGGACTCATCTCCAGTGTATTAGAACTGGATGAGGGTCTAGAAACTAATGAATGATGGTTTAACTGACCTTTAATAACTGACTCATCTCCAGTGTATAAGAACTGGTCTGGAAACTAATGAAGGATGGTTTAACTGACCAGTAATAACGGACTCATCTCCAGTGTATTAGAACTGGATGGGGGTCTGGAAACTAATAAAAGATGGTTTAACTGACCTTTAATAACTGACTCATCTCCAGTGTATAAGAACTGGTCTGGAAACTAATGAAGGATGGTTTAACTGACCTTTAATAATTGATTCATCTCCAGTGTATAAGAACTGGATGAGGGTCTGGAAACTAATGAAGGACGGACCAGTGATCTCAACAACAATGGACCCCTCCTCCCGGCTGCTAAACATCTTCTTCAGCACAGGGGACAGGAGGGACAGCAAGAACTTGTGGGACCTGACAGTTCCCAGCTCCTGGGAGTTCTCATCTATAATCTTGAATTCAACATCATAAAGGTTGGATGCAGAGTCAAGCAAATCTTGGAAATTAAAATCCTTGATGTTAATCATTTTAGACTTCATAGTTGCAGTTTAGGTCTTCAATATATCTGAAATTAAACATTATTAAAAATAATTAATCTGTCAACAATTCTTAGATAAAGTTAAATGGAATAGTTAGTCTTCAAGGGACAAGTACACCTGCAGTGTGGAAACAGGACAACAAAATGGCCGTTTTACACTTTTTTCTAATATATATTCTATTCTCTTTCTACAAAAAATTTATGGAGGAGAAATTCGCACGTTATTTAATAAAAAACCAGTCAGAACTTATTTTTGATAGAAAATGCATTCATTATCAGACAGAGTTAAAAAGGTTGGATCCTAAAAACCCCATTTCGCCCCTCTTCTATCACTTTATATATGTCCTTGATTTAACTAATTTCAACATGATTATTAATAATCATTTTTTTTAGTTTATGGTTAGGCTTGGTTAACACAATTTCTGGGCCAAGCCCTGCTGAATAGGGGGCCGAGTCATGCGGCCAGGACAGGCTAAAGGGCTAGGGGCCGAGCGCTGCAGCTTGGACCCAAACCGGTGCTAAGCCCCCCCTGGACAGAAAAAAAAATGTGAGCGCTCTGAACAACTTCCTGAATATGCCCCTGATCTCCTCTTTGCCTTTATGTTATCCCTTAACTCCCCTGTCCCTTAATGAAAGGGGGGTACACTGGGTGCACATACCCCCCCCCCACGTCTGCCCCCCTGGGGGGAGCACACTTAAAATACTGATACTAAATCTGCTTGTTTTTCTCATCCCCAGGAAATCTGCAATATACATTCTACATTGCATTGCACGCCCCAAAACTCAAAGATTAAGAAAAGAAATAAATTATATTGAAGATGACAACTTTCTTAATCATGAAATTACTTGACCAAATAATTGAAAGATTTGTTGGCAAGTATCCTCGAATTCTTGATTTTGGATGCAGTATCTGTAATGCTTTTCAATAGTTTTTTTATAACTATGTGCGATTTTTTTCTTAATTTCTTTAAAATCCATTAATCTACAATGCAGTTTAATTAGTATGTAATCAAGGGATTGTAGACTATCATTTCAATCTGATTTACAATTATACCCTTCATAGCTTTGTCTGATCAAATATGCAGTAGATATCCATGTTTTTCTTCTTGAAAACTGATTATTTTCATTTGTGATTGCTAAACAAAAGTGACTCGCAAATTTTTGCTTCAGAAACGATGGAGAACTGAAAGTTTCAAATGTACATCGGACATGCCAATCTATAAATGGAGGGTTAGTTAAAGTTACGCATTTATTTACATTTAAGCATAATTTCATCATGAATATAAATATTTTAGAATGTCACTTTTGCCCTTAACTAAAGAATCTATCTCCTTTTCTTTCCCCTTCCCCTCCCCTATCTCCTTTTCTTTCCCCTTCCCCTCCCCTATCTCCTTTTCTTTCCCCTTCTCCTTTCCCATTTCCATTGACTTCCTCTTTTTTCCTTCCATTTCCCTTTTCTATTCTTGTACACAATTGGGCCTGCCAGTGCATATCACTTGGAAACTTGGAATCCGTTAGAAATGCATAACTTTATTATCTTTATAGAACAGATTATGGAACAGATTGCAATGTTATCGCTTAAAATAAGTTTTTTCGGCTCTTTGCTCACGTTACTGGCCAAAATTCTGCTTAGACCATTACAGAACTATACTTAATGACATCTAACAAGTTTTGTTTTCATACAAATGAGATGCATAATAAAATCACTATTTAAGCAGGAGAGCCATGCCTATCCTATAACTGATTAATACAAAAATTTATAAGCAACCATATTTAGCAAAGCTACGATGATTAAATTATTTAGTAACTGACGCCCCCCACCCCCTCCTATCAATTTTGTACATGATATTAAATGTAAGACATGTTGCCGCAGCGCTCGGCCCCCTAGCCTGTCCTAGCTCGGCCCAGAAAGTGTCTTAACCTAACCAAAAATAAATACTAATTTAATTGAAAATTGTTGAAAAAGTGGTCATGTACAAAATTGATAGGAGGGGTGGGCCCGGGGGCGGTCCAAAGATCGTTCTCCGGACCACGTTAATTAATGTTGATTGTTTGAATTTAATACCAATACTGCTACGGCAGTGCAGCCAATGACGTCATATCAAAGTGTACAGAAAGTACACACTATTCGGATAAATTCCTAATGCCCTTCTACTATTCTACGAGCGGGGGAAGGTAGGCAGCCATGAGCCACCACTATTTCCCCTTCCGTGCCACATACCCAACAAACAAAAACCCGTGAAGAACACAAGATTATTTGGTTTATTTCACACGAGTGACCCGTCATTATCCCGTGATAATTCACGTGTTGTCGAGGTGATTGTCGACGATTTGATCACGGGTCTAGGACCGAGTTTTTACACGGTGAAAACCTGAGTTTATTTCACGAGATGAACACGGGATTTTTACATGGGAAAATTATTTTTCTCCCATCTAGTTAAATTACATTTTTAAAAACCCCGGGAAAGGGGGGGGGTTNTACACTTTGCTGTGACGTTTTTGGACTGCTGAAGAACTAGTTTTTGCGTAACAACAATAACAAAGGCAGCCGATCTTATGTAAAAAAGCATGAGTTAGTAATTAGTATACGGTGAATCTTCATCTAATGCGCCAGAGATGCTAGATGTCTGTTTATTATTTGTGTTATTGTTTACAATCTCTATTATTGTTGTTACGCAAAAACTAGTTCTTCAGCAGTCCAAAAACGTCACAGCAAAGAATACGGAAACCCTATCGCTTTATAGGAATTTGATGGAGTAAATGCCAGAAATGAGTGGAAAATGCAAATCAAACCCAACGAAAACCAATAATTTAATATACTTCATGATATTTTCCCAGGGGGGGTAAAACAATTCCCTGCGCTTCGCCCGCCACATTAAAAAAATTTACCCCTTACACCCCTGCTTACAAAATCAATTTTATTCAATTTTGATGGAATTTATCACACCTAATATTTCCCGTTGTAGGGTGATTAAGTGACTTTATCGCCCTATACATCAAGGCGAAAAAGTAACTTTTTCACGTCCTGCTATTAAAATTTCAAATTCCATACCTAATTTGTCTCATTGTAGGGTGATTAAGTAACTTTATCGATCTTCTTTTAAATAATTTGAGTAAAATTGAATAAATTGAAATGCGTATGTTATTGAAATGGGTATCATGCGTGCGAAAAAATTTTGGCTGTGATTTTTAAGTTTTCTAGTTTGTTTTTTTCGATCAAAATAAAAATAACGGCAAAAACTTTTTCGCACTTAATAATACCCATTTCAATGACATAAGATATAAAATTTGTAGGAGGGTAAATTCCTGGATTTTCTCAGTTTTTTTAACCGTACAGTACAGTACAGTAGAGTACAGTACAGTACAGTACAGTACAGTACAGTACAGTACAGTACAGTACAGTACTGACTGTACTGTACTGTACTGTACTGTACTGTAATGCACTGTACTGTACTGTACTGTACTGTACTGACTGTACAGTAGAGTACAGTACAGTACAGTACAGTACTGGTACAACTTTGTGACTTCATAGCTTCTCTAAATTTAGTTTTTTAATCGCTGTTTAATAAGAAGTAGAAATTAATTACACTTAAGATTTTTATCTTGGGTAAAAGGAACTAAATACTTTTCACAAATTCTTATTTTGAAATCCCAATATCTTTGTAACTTGATGTTGTAGGCCTTTGATATTTCAAACTGTGAATTCTGTTCATACAAATAGCATACATTTGAAATATCAAAGGTTTGCGCCATCAACTAATTTCTTTCTGACGGCATAAAATGTAAATAAGATTGCTTAAATGCTGTTCTTCCTTTTCCACAGTTTTATGAGTCTCACTGTATGCCAGGTTAATATTTTTACGGACTGCCAATCTTGATTTAGAAAGAGAAAAGTATACTTTTGCTTGTTTAATGAACACTTTTTCAATCTTTTATTTGCTCGTGCTAATCGGGAATTTCTGTATAAAATTAAAAACCTAAATTTTCTTGATGACATAAATGTTCCTCTCTCTACAATATATATATATATAACTTAAAAAGATATTTTATTCAAGCAGTTTTTCTAAATAAAATTATAAAAAAAACTAAAATTTCCACAAACTAAAATTTTCAAATTCGTATATCTTTGCAACATGGCGGGGTAAACCTTGGATATTTCTACGACATCTAGTTGCAAAGATATAGATATTAAAAAAGATTTTATGGCAAAGACTCAATTCTTTTGAACGTACTGGAAATAATATAAATTTAGACATCGTTAAAAATTCCAATTATATTACAACTTAAATAACTGGCGCTGAATTGCAAGGTAGAAGACAAAAAACTACAAACCATATTTTGAATGGCTGCACGGTTCAACTACACCAAAAAAGATATACTTGGAGGCACAACAATCTTATTAAATATATAACTGGATTGATATTGACCGATTTCTGATGTATGCCGACATCCCGTCCCATACCCTTCCAGGGGGAGGTACTGTTCACCCCCACCTCCTTGTGACCGTAAAGAAACCAGATCTAGTAATTATCGATAGAATGGAGGAAAAGATGGATATTTTTGAGCTTACTGTCCCATTCGAAACAAATATCAAAAATACCAACGCTCAAAAGATGAACAAGTATGAACATTTTATTACAGATATAACAACTAGGGATGTGTCTGTTCATCCTTTTGAAATCGGCTCAAGAGGATATATCTCACCATCAAATAAGGCGATTCTAAAGAAACTGCATAAGTTCTGCAAACCCAGTGTTAGTTTCACAAGCAATGTGTGAAAATCTATCAAGCCTTGCTGTACTGTCATCTTTTTTAGAAAAAGAAAAACACTAGACTGGGACCAAGAAACCCCTTTTCTGAAAACCACCTCTGAATAGCTAAACTATACTCATGCTAAAAGTCTTGTATTGCACCTTTTTTGGCAAACCCTGTCAATTATAAAATGCGATATCCAGAGAAAAGAGTATTAGTTTGTAAACTTTTATATTGTTTATTGTAATTTTGCTTTAGACAAATATAAATGATAAATATACTTTAAACCAATTCTTCTTGTCTTAGTAAATTCAGGAACAGTTTAATTTCCATCTATTACAACTTTAAATAACCGTCTTTAGACCAGTTCTTCTTGTCTTAGTAAATTCAAGAACAGTTTAATTTCCATCTGACAACTTTGAATAATATTCTTTAAACCAGTTCTTCTTGTCTTAGTAAATTTAAGTACAGTTTAATTTCCATCTATTATAACTTTAAATAATATTCTTTAAACCAGTTCTTCTTGTCTTAGTAAATTCAAGAACAGTTTAATTTCCATCTATTATAACTTTAAATAATCTTCTTTAAACCAGTTCTTCTTGTCTTAGTAAATTTAAGTACAGTTTAATTTTCATCTATTACAACTTTAAATAACCGGCTTTAAACCAGTTCTTCTTGTCTTAGTAAATTTAAGTCAAAACCAAAAAAAAAACATATTTTTCCCTAATATATTTTTCCCAAAAGCAAACATTGATTAAATTGTAAAAAATATTCGATAATAGAAAAGTACTACAAATACCAAATCACTAAGTATATATGGGATTAAATAAAAAACAAACATTTATAAGGATAGTGAAACAATTTTAACAATTATTTTAATTTTTGTTTCACTTTTTCTGAAGAAGTGATGTACGTTGACACACTGTACAGTTTATTGCAGTGAACAGATGGGTTTAAGAAATGGTAAACATATGCAACAATTAATAAAAAAGCAATTTAGATGAAAAATCAATTTGAAAAATTTAAAAATAGAAATATGTTTAGCTCTTACAATTTGATTTCAGCTAGAAATGCGGGAAACTGCTCTGTTCAAATACCGGAAAATCAACCATCTTTATAATTCTCCGTATTTACAAATAATCTTGATATAATTTAACAGTTCAATGTTCATTTAACTTTAATAGGATAATTTATTCCCGTGAAATCATCATAAATATATATGGAATCAATCCTAAATACATTTTGACTTTAAAAACATTTAAAAATAGTTTAAGACTTCAATGCGCAAAGTTCCATTAAAGGGTTTTATAAGTTTAAAATTGATAAACTGTTTAATCCTTTTTCATCTAGAGAATAATGCAACATCTGTATATCATGTTTGTTTGATTGCAGGCCTTGGTTCATGATGTAAATGTATGTATACAGTGTAGCGAGAACACCCTACATAGATAAACATTGTTGTTGTCTTGTCTATCAAAGATAACAGTTCTCTAGCCTGCTCTATATTTGTCTGAGTATACATGATGATACCCTCCTTCAACCCCTTCAACTGTTCATCCAGCTCATCAGCAGATTCAGGATACTCTTGGGGAGATAGATGTTGAAATTCTTGCTTAAACATTTCTATATCAGAACTGGTGAATGTTTCATGCGGACAACAGACAGTTTTCTTTATATTTTCTTTAAACTGAGCAGTTTGTAACAGGAGTTTAGTTAATATTGTTGGAAGGTTTATAGACCCATCGTCAGATATATAAATATGGTGAAATTCCAAATATTTTGTCTTATTATCTTATACTTCAGTCAAACAAATATAGTACGGGACGCAACAATAAGAAGGCTAGGAATGTTGATATAGAAAGAACTCCTTTAAAGGGTCAGACTGGCTATGTAAGGTAGTTAAACTGAGTATGCAGAATTGGGGACAAATTCTTTAGGATTCATTTGATACATATAAAACGTTTCCACGATGCATAATTACTGAGTTTAAGCGCAAAGTCGATGTTCAAAATCATGAATTTGGGTAGGTATGTTTTTAGAATCTTTTTTTTAATTATATTAAATAACGACGAAAAACAAATTCTATAGTAAACTAATTAGATGTTTAGAAACATATTTCTCAAAAGATATTTGTCAATAAATCGAAGTTTGAATTAATTATTTCCTTTTTCATCATTATATTGAATTTCTTATTTTCTATGAATTTGTTCAAATTCTTTAAATGTCGTCTTTTTTTATAAAAATTAAAGAAAATCTGCAGAAAATCTTTGCTATTAAAGGGCGCCATGACAAATTCCTGAAAGACAAACTCCTGAAAGACGAACTCCTGAAAATACAAACTCCTGAAAGACAAACTCCTGACAAGACAAACTCCTGACGAGACAAAATCCTGAAAATAAAAACTTCTGAAATACAAACTCCATAATATCAAATTTAAAAAAATGTTTCTCAATTTATTTTTAATCTAGTTGTCTTGTTGTTTAATTATAACTGGAGATTCATAACTCAATTGGATTTAATGGTTCTGTCAATATTTTAGAAAACTGTGACTTTCGATCACAATTTGACCCCTTTTACATAATTTTATAGACTTTTCTCTTAAATATTTTTTGTTGTTGTCATATACATTTTGAATGAAAAAGTATAAAATAAACAAAAAACACGTTTGATTTCAAATAAAAGGAACCGAATGCTTCTCTCTCTGGTTAGTTCGGGGTGAACTATCATTACTATTAATACATAACTATCTTTCCTTGTAATAAATATTAATATGATGCAGATGGATCGGAACTACCCCTGACCGGGCCATCTGCCTATTCCACTTGCCTTCAAGTTTCCCAACGCCGTTTATGCTCCGCCAAATATCCCTCCTGGCTATGGAACAGATCTATATCCTGCTGAAAACTTGGATCCAGACAACCTACCTGCGATGCAAAGGAAGGAAATATCCAGGAACCGTAAATCTAATGAACTTAGCTCCTTTAACCACTCCAAGATACCTAAGTAAAGGAACCTCAAGCTTAAGTACAAGAAGGACAAGTACTACTGTAGTATCTGCTCAGAATTTGCTTCTTTCATGGTACCAATAGAGAAAATAATTCGTCATAGACACAACTCCTCTAAGTTCAAGAGAATATAACTGCACCTTGTGTAAAACTACTCCTCATTCCCATAAGACAGGTGTAAGACATCCAGTACCTGTGACCTCCATCCTCCTCAACAACTGGCAGGGAAAGAAGAAGGGATATCCAGTTGATGACATAATTGACATTCATGTTGATGTAATTGGTATTCCATCAAGACGGTCCATCAAGCATTCACGGCCGATTTTAAGGACAGTTATAGTCCAGTCGATGTTCTCTTTGTTTGAGGGCTGAATGGCGTCATGAGAGGAAGATCTCTAGACAAGATCAGGACAGACCTGAGAAACTTCAAAAGAGATGTGATCTTGCTCAAGAGATCCTGTGGAGGCAAGGTAGATTGTACTTTTGCAGTTGCTACTGTCCCCTATCCTTCAAAGATCTCTGCTCTACCAACGGAACAGAGAGAAGTTCAAGCAAACAGGTTTGACACCCTCAGTGAGTAAGAGTAGTTTGCTATTAAAATCTTCCTCAATAGTACTTCCAGTATTTAGTTTTGATTCCATTTTGTTAGCTAGTTCCAAAAGTTCGGATTCAATTTTTTCAAGAGCTTCCTTTCCAGCAACGTTTCTCAAGTCATTCATATTTGATTTTAATGTTTCAATGTCATGTTCATTTGCTGAATTTCATCTAGTAAAAATTCAAATCTGGATCGTCAAGGTCATTAAACTTTTGTTGTGTTGAGTCAGGATATGACACTGTGGTTAACAGTTCATAGTTGATATTTCATACAGTTCCAAATACAATGGTGTAGGAACACTAGTTTATAAAGCAATAAGTTTTTTAACAACTCCTTCTTTTTGTTCGGTCCTTTTGAGATAAAACCAAAAATTGTAGCAAACTCTTTTATGTCTGGATTTTTAAGGATGAAAACTGGTCTATTATGGGATCAATTAAATCTAATTCTATATATTTTGTTGTAGGCCGTTTTACGAGTTTTATGAATCTTTTCAGGCATTGTATTCGATTTTTTTCATAAGAAACCGTGTCAGAAAATCCCACAGCTTTACTTTTTTCAATATAACGCCCATTTTCCCCAGGGAATAAAGAAAATCTGGAGCAGTCCTTTTGGTCCTATCTCCTAGATTAAACTTTGTTGCCAGAATAAACTACGTCTTAACTTTCATTTACCCTATCATTGTTGCTAAAAAGCTTGCTAGGCCTTTTCAGGCTGTATAGACACATCCTTTCTTCTGGACATGGGCATTACTGTAATTTTTCAACCATATATAAACATTGTATCTTTCATTATACTTTACTCTGTGACTAACCTTTGTGAATAAACTATTGGATAAGTAAGTAAATTTTATTTTTTTCATTGAGTCTATGAGTAGTAATATAGATATTAGAAATATTTGAAAATAAATACTTACATAGAGGTCTGTATAAAACTGTACTGAAGAAAGTATAAAACTAGAAGTTCTGATCTAATACCGTAAAAAGTTAATATTACTAGAATCTTTTTTAGGATATAGATATTAACGATGAACCATCAATGTTCCTAGTTAGTATATTTCTTAATTATTATGTTCCTTCTTTCACCTTGCTTATGAAGCCTCAACATTAACGAGTTAACATAATTTTGCTTAAAATTAAAAGGGTTCCTCGTTGGTATGATTCTTTACTAGACTGTACCTTCATTTATCCAGTTTATACAGTCTCAAAACTAATGAGCTAACATAAATTCTCTTTTATTTCAAAAAAAGAAAACTAGCTCCAGCGCATGTATTATGAAAACATGCACAAAGTTATTTTTAGCACCTTTTAATATGCGACAACACAAACTGTGTTTGTAATAACCCTCAGTTTTATTGAATACAGATATGCTATCCCATGATAAATAATGTATTTTGTTTTTTCTTTTCTATTGAACTGATGCCTCACCATTACTTGAATATAAATGTATCATTAATTTTGGCGGGGAAAAAACAAAGAGAAAAAGTGTATCCGTAACTTAACTGTTCTCTTCTTAATTTTTGTTTCAAAAATGAATGTACACGATATTGTTGTAAAATATTTATATTTGATACATGTAAACAATTTTGTAAAATTAACATAATCTTGACACGGAGATAATAAATATCTAGATCACAAAAAAGAATCTTTTTTAGACTCATATTTTATATATATATGCGCAAATTAGCGCACAATTCATCTCCCAAGTATCTGGGAACCTCCTGAACGTCATGGAGCATGGCAGCATGCAGAGTTCCTCCAGACAACAAAGGAGGAGATATTGGAGCGCTTGTTTTTACAGGTCCAGAGGATGATGAGGTATCTGGGAGACCAGCAGAGGTTAAAACTAGCTCCAGAGCATAAGGTATTATCAGAGGCTTGGACCCTCCTCCTCCTGATGATGGGATCCAAGCTTGCTAGGATTAAGGAGGTCTCAAGGGATCCGGCATATGTTCCTAAATAGGATCAGAGTTATTAGCACTTGGCCTGGCCATTATAACAGAATGATGTGTATAAGTATGCATATTTAATATTAAAATACAAATTAAACGTTAAATTATTTAATTGGGGACACATAAGGTATAATATTATAGGCTAGAGCAATTTAGGATCAACCAGACATCATGTGTTGATCCTTTGTAATTGATCTGTCTCAATCTAAGGTATAATATTATAGGGTAGAGCAATTTAGGATCAACCAGACATCATGTGTTGATCCTTTGAAATTGATCTGTCTCAATCTAAGAGTTTATTAGTGAGCACTAAGAAAATACCACAAAATTGAAATTTGATTTATTTTGTTAAAAATGCTTGCCCTGCTGAACCATTCTAACAGTTTAAGCTGAGTGTTGGTAATTTAAAAAAATTACAGTGCCTCAGGCCCAGGTTTACTATAACCAGAGAAATACAAATTTTATATTCAAACTTCTTTTCTTACAGGAACAATTAAACGGGGGGTCGGTGTTTTCAAAAATGAGAAATGGTTAATAACTTTTTTATTAATTAAGCTAAAGGTCTAAAACTCATATATTTAAAAAGCCCTTGAAAAAAGGATATAATAACATTTGTCACATGTTAATATTTGTTAGAAGCAAAAAAAAAATTGTTGAAAATTTTTTTGTCATACTTTTTTAACTTTTTTAAAATCCTCCCTTTTAATTTAACTATTAAAGTTAGAGGTCAAATTTTTTTTTAATAAGAGGGCCTTGAAAAGGTGAACTGGGGACATGTATTACACTCCCCTTTCACAACCCTAAGGGCAAAATCAAAGGGGGGTGCTTTCCCCCCCCCCCTCCCTCCCCTTAAATTGCTCTTATTTTCGCCTCTAGTCAATTTCTTTGTGCATGCTTTAATTTTTCTAATTTATCTATATAAAAAAACAAGACATTCATGATGCGTATAGCTGGTCAAACAGCTGAACCGGATGGGCTGAAATTTTTTGTGGACACCCATGGATAGCCAGGGGTTGTCTTAGGCTAAAAAAGATTCAAAATTGATTACTATACTGTACGACGTACCTACTGTACTGTATTAAACTGTACTGTACTGAACTGAACTGTACTGTACTGTACTGTACTGTACTGTACTGTACTGTACTATACTGTACTGTACTGTACTTTACTGTACTGCACTGTACTGTACTGTACTGTACTGTACTGTACTTTACTGTACTGTACTGTACTGTACTGTACTGCACTGTATAAGTCTAAGACACATTCCACTTAACAAGTTGATTTCCAAGTTACTTGTAAAACTATTCACAGTGTACTCCAGTATTCAGAAGAAGGTTAAATTTATACGACATTACTGGTACAACTTTGTGACTTTAGCTTCTCTAAATTTAGTTTTTTTAATTGCTGTTTAATAAGAAGTAGAAATTAATTACACTTAAGATTTTTATCTTGGGTGAAAGGAACTGAATACTTTCCAAAAATTATAATTTTGAAATCCCAATATCTTTGTAACTTGATGTTGTAGGCCTTTGATATTTCAAATTGTGAATTTTGTTAATGCAAATAGTATAAATTTGAAATATCAAAGGTTTGCGCCATCAAGTTGCAAAGAAATAGAGATTGGAAATTAGAGTTTGTGGCCTTTACCAGCATGCAAGGAACCTATGATGCAAGAAAACGGACTAGACAAAATTTGTACAATCGTCTCTGGAGTCTCATCCTTTATGGGTAACCCTTTACATTACGATACAACCAGGAAATGTAGATAAAACAAATCTATAATATCAAAAATTAAAAATTAAAGAAAGGTACAAAAAATTATGAATGATATTTTTTATATGATTTTGATGCTGCATATTTCATAGGTTTACTTTTAATTTATATTTTATTTTGTCAATGTAAGCATTTTATTTTTCATTGATGGCCAAAGACGACATTCCAAATTGAACCTTGCAAAAATATGTATTTCTCGTCAAATATCAATTATTGTATTTTTACAAAGTGATTTACTGAAATATATCTATTAATGAACGCATTTTGAATACCAAATTCAACCATCTTCTAATTGTCAGAATTTAAGAGTTTTATGTCGTCATTAAAATTTTAAATACCAAATTCAACCATCTTCTAATTGTCAGAATTTAAGAGTTTTATGTCGTCATTAAAATGTTGAATACCAAATTCGACCATCTTCTAATTGTCAGAATTTAAGAGTTTTAGGTCGTCATTAAAATTTTGAATATCAAATTCAACCATCTTCTAATTGTCAGAATTCAAGAGTTTTAGGTCGTCATTAAAATTTTGAATACCAAATTCAACCATCTTCTAATTGTCAGAATTTAAGAGTTTTAGGTCGTCACTAAAATTTTAAATACCAAATTCAACCATCTTCTAATTGTCAGAATTTAAGAGTTTTATGTCGTCATAAAAATTTTGAATACCAAATTCAACCATCTTCTAATTGTCAGAATTTAAGAGTTTTAGGTCGTCATTAAAATTTTACATACCAAATTCAACCATCTTCTCAACTTGATTTTTCAAATTGTGAATTCTGTTAATACAAATAGCATACATTTGAAATATCAAAGGTTTGCACCATCAACTAATTTCTTTCTGACGGCATAAAATGTAAATAAGATTGCTTAAATGCTGTCCTTCCTTTTCCACAGTTTTATGAGTCTCACTGTATGCCAGGTTAATATTTTTACGGACTGTTAATCTTGATTTAGGAAGAAAAGTATACTTTTGCTTTTATTTGCTCGTGCTAATCGGGAATTTCTGTATAAAAACCTAAATTTTCTTCATGACATAAGTGTTTCTCTCTCTACAATATAAATAAACCTTCTTAAAAATATATTTTATGCACTCAAACAGTTTTTATAAATGAAATTGTAAAAATGAAATTTAATTGAGTCTTTGCCACAAAATCAAATTTTCAAATTCGTATATCTTTGCAACATGGCGGGGTAAACCTTGGATATTTCGAACTTGGATTATTTGATGTAGTGGAAGCCACTTCCAGTTCTTCTTCAGTTCTTCTTGTCTTAGTAAATTCAAGAACATTTTAATTTCCATCTATTATAACTTTAAATAATATTGTTTAAACCAGTTCTTCTTGTCTTAGTAAATTCAAGAACAGTTTAATTTCCATCTATTACAACTTTAAATAATATTCTTTAAACCAGTTCTTCTTGTCTTAGTAATTTTAAATAATATGCTTTAAACCAGTTCTTCTTGTGTCAGTAAATTCAAGAACAGTTGAATTTCCATCTATTATAACTTTAAATAATATTCTTTAAACCAGTTCTTCTAGTCTTAGTAAATTCAAGAACAGTTTAATTTCCATCTATTACAACTTTAAATAATATTCTTTAAACCAGTTCTTCTTGTCTTAGTAAATTTTAATCAAAACCAAAAAACAATATTTTTTCCCTAATATATTTTTCCCAAAAACAAACATTAATATTGAAATATTTTTAACAAAAAATTAATTAAATTGTAAAAAATATTCGATAATAGATAAATACTACAAATACCAAATCACTAAGTATATATGTGAATAAATGAAAGGATAGTGATTAAATATAAGGATAGTGAAACAATTTTAACATATGTAACTGTAAATAAGAAGCAGTTTAAATGAAAAATGAATTTGAAAAAATATAAAAATAGAAATATGTTTAACTCTTACAATTTGATTTTAGCTAGAAATGCGGGAAACTGCTCTGTTAAAATACCGGAAAATCAACCATCTTTATAATTCTCCGTATTTACAAATAATCTTAATATAATTTAACAGTTCATTTAATTATAATAGGATAATTTTTCCCGTGAAATCATCGTAAATATATAAGAAATCAATTCTAAATACATTTTGAATTACAAAAAAACATTTAAAAATAGTTTAAGACTTCAATGCACAAAGTTCCATTGAAAGGTTTTATAAGTTTAAAATTGATAAACTGTTTAATCCTCCTTCATCTATTGAATAATGCAACGCCTGTACCATGCAGGCCCTGGTTCATGATGGAACAGTATGTTTACAGTGTAGCGAGAACACAATACATAGATATACATTGTTGTTGTCTTGTCTATCAAAGAATACAGTTTGTCACACTGCTCTATATTTGTCTGAGTATACATGATGATACCCTCCTTCAACCCCTTCAACTGTTTATCCAGCTCCTCAGCAGATTCAGGATAATCTTGGAGAGATAGATGTTGAAATTCTTGCTTAAACATTTCCATATCAGAACTGGTGAATGTTTCATCAGGACAACAGACAATTTTTTTTATGTTTTCTTTACTTAGAATTTCCCTCAGAGTTCTGAAGGGAGCAGGAGATCCTCTTAGTCCTCGTATTTGCCGAACACCTGGTCCACGGTCCAACACATCTACACTGTTCTCTGGTACGCAGACAACCAGCTCAACACTAGCTCTAAGGGAAACAACACCAGCTCTGCCTACATTATCAGCAAAGAAGAGAACTGAGGTTGATTCTGTGCCTCTAATGTGTACATACGGAACTAACAAACAACCTCGCTCAGCAGCAAGAAATTTATTAAGATTTTTAATGTCAAACAAATCAACATTTTTCCTCCTTAATTCCTGAAGGAAAATCTCACGCTTGAATTTCTCTTCATAAATACAAACAAACTTGTTGTTATTTATCTTCTCAAGAGCTGTCCGATATACAATATCCTGATCAAATTGTCCTGGTATAAGAATAGGAGGAATACCCTCTACTGTGACCGGTATACATGAGTTAAGATCAGTGAATCCAATATCTTTATAGTAGTTCACTATCTTCTCACAGTTTCTGTACAGTATGTTTAAAGAACAAACTTGAAATGAATTCTCCTGGAACAATCCTTCAACAGGCCTAGAAGTGTACACGTCAATTAGTTGGGGATTAAGAGCTATGACGAGGGAATCCAATGGTAGAGCAGAGAGAGTATCCAGGTTTAATAAACGTTTGTTCTCCGGATCCAAATATTCACACAATTTACCATCTTTCAATTTACGTTTAACAGGAACTCCATCTCCGTATTCATCAATCACTATGATTCCATACTTTTTCACAGAAACATCTTATCAAGATAAATGGGATTGTGTACATTGTTCAATTGGTTTGTTTCATGTTTATTGGACTATTTAAAATCATTTTATGTTTATTTTATATTGTTTTAAAGCAAAAATATAGTTTTGCCAGAAACTCCAGAAACATCTTATCAAGATAAATTGGATTGTGTACATTGTTCAATTGGTTTGTTTCAAGTTTATTGGACTATTTAAAACCATATCTTGAGTCTAACAGTCCTCCTATCTCTAATGGTTTTCGCGAAAAATTTTGTTCGCTGGAAATTTTACACCTGAGTAAGTCGCAGCAGCAAAGAAAAGTGTAATTTACAACCAAATAATGTACAAAATGAAGCAAAAAAATAATACTTTCCAAAAGAGGTACACAAGGGGGGCAAGGGGGGTAGTGCCCCCAACTAGACCTGTAAAGAACTCAGAGCTATTACACTTTTCAAATCTGATTCTGAAGAGTGAAGAGCATAAAAAAGTAGTTTGCTGTTTTTTCTGCTAGTTTTGTTTGAAGGAGAGACAAAGTAGTACTGGCAAGGTAATTGGACTGTATGTGTACCTTTAAAGTATCCAAGAAGCCAAATGTTTTATATTTNAATTTACCCCCAGATTTATTTCTGTGTACGCCAATTTGCAGTTAATAACAGTATAATATACATACATCCTCCATCCCTTTATTGCAAAGAATAATGAATATAAAAAATAGAATATAGATTAATATATAACTCGTTACTCAGATGGTTACTTTCCATTTTTGATCCTTGAAAGAAAATTTAAAAAATTTTAGAGTGATAAAGGGGCGGCGCAGACAATAATCTTTTTAATTCTTCCTTAAACCCGGATTTAAATTAAATTAAATTAAATAATTTTATGCGACTGGGGATGCTTGATGCATACTGGCCAATCTAATTGTTCAAAGATATTCTGATAGATGCAAATGTGGATCGATAAAATGATTGAATTTAGCTTCTACAATTCTGGCTGGCATACTAGATGCATGCTAACAGAACATAAAATTCACCAGAATGCATTCTATTTGCATGCAAAATGCTTTCTGACCAATAACAATAGCAAGCTATATTTTATGTACCGAAATATTAGTTAGTTATACAACATTGCAGCGATATTTAAAGTCAAAATCACTTCTAGTCAGCTCTCTGTGGTTTGAGAAATATGTGTCACATGTTCATTTTTTTGCAATAATTTATTAGTGATAGCGAAAATATGGGGCAACTTCGGGATTATACACACTAAAAACTATTTCCTAGAGTTAAACGCAACGCAGCCCCTCAATTCGGCACAGTCATTACTTATTAAATAAAGTGTAAAAAATAAAGTTAAAATATATATATTTTTTGAATTTTTTTTCTAAATTATTTTTTAGCGTATGTCTAATAAAGACAAGCAAAAAAAACCTTGAAACTTTTTTCTTATTTTTAATTTTTCTTTTTTTTTATTCTTAAAATCAATTTATTTTTCCCAAGACCGTTCAAGTTTATGTTTTGAAATGCAATACATTTTTTTAAAATTTGTTTTTTTCAGTTTTTTGAATAACGTGATTTTTGAACTTTTTAAAAATCCTCCCTTGCACCCTAAACATTAAAAATAGCGGTATAATTTGTTTTTTAATGAGCAGGCCTTGAATAGTTGGGATAGGGACACACTCCCCTATCTCAACTCTAATGGCTAAATCATAGACAGAATCTATATTAGACAGAAATCATTACAGCAATAAGAAATCATAATATTAATATCATTTGTTCTTACAGTATAGGTTTAACTAGAAATGCGGGAAACTGCTCAAAGATAATTCATTGATATTCTCTTTATTAAAAAATAAAATGTGGAAGCTTGGATTTTAGAAATAATTCAGAAAAGTTAATTTAGATAATCTTTGTTTTCAGTGATTTATTTTGAAAGTTATGAAAGTGAGTTTTGTTTTGATTGTGGATTATACTCAAAAACGGGAAAATGCGTTTTGAAAACGCGACAATGTTTTAAATTCAGGATATGTTCGAAAATGGAAAACCTGACATCATAGACTTTATTAGACAGAATCTACATTAGACAGAAATAGCCCATTCAGGATAGAGTCAAATCAAGCTAAGAACATTTCCGTGATTCAACAGAGTTCCTGATTCCTCAATCAAAATTTGAGGCAAATCGGTCCATGGGGGTCTCAAGTGTTATGATCTGACATACAAATAAAATCAGACTGACAAACAGAGATTACAACTTTATGTACGACATTTTGTTTTGCTGTCTATGCTAATTATGAATTACACAAAGTTGGTATATAAATCAATGTATACTAAGGAATAAAAGGAATTATTGAAAACTTTAGAAAGTTTATAAATATTTAATTTATCTATTGGTTTACATTCTCACACTTTGCTTCAGAATTTAAGACAAAAGAATCTTTTCAAAATCTCAAATAACGATTTAATAAAAAGATTGACCATGAAAAAAAAACTTTTTTATTCTATTTCCTGTACACTGTGTGTGTAGCATACAGCCGGAATAAATATTCATTTTTTAGATATTTATTTTGTAATTTAGTTACATTTGAAACTGTGACACCTTACCTTTTATAAACTCTGGAAGCTTGGAATGGAAATTCTCTTTTGAGAGACGAACCTTCATCTTCTTACAAACAGATTCAGCGTTCTCGAAATGAATCTCACAACCCTCCGTCTGGGCCATCTCATCTAGGGCAACTCTAATTGTTGTATCAAAAATCGGCGGGATGAACCTACCCAATTCATCGCGACTGTACTTAAGGCTTGGGCTCAGGCATGATATGAAAAGTGCCCTTGGTTTCTCAACAGAGACCTCTTCATTATCCTCGCATATTTCCTCATTCATCTTCTTAACTCTTCTTAAGCATCTTCTCATTTTCTCAAGCAACAAAAGCGTTTTCCCGCTTCCATACTGACCACACACTACAGTTCTAGGGTGATCATCAGATAGGAATGTTACTTGGTCTTGGCTCCAGAACAGCATACTGGTAAGTGATCCCGCAGTTTTCTTTTTTGTTTCATCAAATTTAGGCTTCTCAGCAGCGGACTCACTGAGATCCATTCCAACGCCAATAGCTCCAACATTGTCCCCAAGCAGTAGCTTCTTGGATTTTTCGACAAGGTTATATGGAGCCAGGTTTATGGTGGCATTAGCTTTTCCAGAATGAACTGATGCCAGCAAAAGATTAACTATGTTGGTGTATGTTTTTTCAACAGGGGAGGGAGGGCCCAGGTGCTTCTTCAAATCTTCCATGATATTACCCTTCTGTATCTCTAGTGCTGTTAAGATGACATGATTTGGATATTTTCTTGAGAAATCACGAGACACTTTGATCTGAAAACAAAATTGTCTTTAACAATAATATTAAAGTTGTTCTTTCAATGATTCAAGACTTTTATTATTATCAAAATAATAATGATGATGATTATATTGACTCAAATGATATTAATAATAAGAATAATAATTACAATAATATAAGAAAATAATTATAATAATGTTGATAGTAATAATAATTATAATAATAATAATAATAATAATAAGAAGAATGTTGAAAAATAACAAACAATCATCAAAATGTGATATAAAAAGTCAAGGAAATAGAAAGAAAACTACTTCCATAATATTTTTTTTAAGAGGATTTAATGAAAGCCATTTTGGTGATGAAATGTTCTTGGAGAAATTCAGCTCCAGGGGCCTAAATAAGGAGGTTATTTGTGGTAATTAATCAACACCTAGAATCTTGGGGGTAATTGAACCCCCCCCCATACCCTTCTAGAAACTTGATTCCATTGACATAATCATTTATATTAAATGTTTGGTAGCTGTACTGAGAATGTAGTTTTGTGCAGAAATATTTTAGGATTCATTTAAGACATATAAAATGTTATAATTATGTATAATTACTGAGTTTGAGCAAAAAGTCGACGTTCAAAATCATCCATTTGGGTGGTTACATTTAGATAATCAATGTTTTTAAAATAATTAAATAGCGACGACAAAAAAAGTAAAACAAAATTCTACAATAAACTAATCAGATGTTTAAGGAATGTATTTCTTAATCAAAATTTTCTCAATAAATGAATGTTAGAATCAGTTATTTCTTTTTCCGCATTATATTGAACTCCTTATACTTTATGAATTTGTTTAAAGATTTCTTAAAGTTCTTCCAACGTCGTCTTTTCAATAAAAATAAGTTAAAATTGGGAAACGGTTGACAATAGCGAGTATCTCAGGATTATGAGCTTAGTGTATTACTTTTCTTGATTTATATAAATTATTTTCCAGGGTTCTTATACGTATAGCTATGCTGATGTTCTAATGCTTTAACTAGCGCTGATACTATCCAAGAACTATACAATGGGTTCTTATACTTATAGCTATGCTGATGTTCTAATGCTTTAACTAGCGCTGATACTATCCAAGAACTTTTGCTGATCTTAAAAAAACTAGTTTTCTTATTTTACTCCTATGCTTTCTTCATCTCCAAAGGGTAATTTATCTTTTTTTTTTGAAAATGGTCAGAAAAGGAAACTATTTACCCCCTATATCATAGCAACCCGATGTCGTAGACCTTTGATATTTCAAACTATAAATTCTGTTAGACCAAATAGTCTAAGTTTGAAATATCATCGGTTTACACCATCTGGTTGCAAAGATATAGGGATTAGAAAATTTGAGTTTGTGGCAAAAACTCAATTCCTTTAAATTTCACAAATAGCTGATTAAAACTTTTTACAATCGAAATTAAAAATATTTTAATTTTAGCTGCTAGGAAATACATATATTTACAGGGTGAGTAAAAAAAAAGAACTAATATTTTTTTTTGGTATTTTTGCAAAAACAAAATCCGCAAACCTTTTTTTACGTCAAATTTCAAAGTAAAGAAAAACAAAGTGTGATAATAGATAATAGCTATCCAATCCTAAAATTTCATTAAGATCGGTGTCTGACCAACTGAGAGATATATTCATAAAAATCTCTAACATTTTAATCAAATATATGAACCGATTTATTGTTCAGTTGAACATAAAAATAACACAGTTAACAATTGCCACATTAATAAAATGTCCTCTATTCTTCTGGTAAAATTTCACCGCTCTAATTCTTAGATCTATTATTCACTGAAACTTTAACCTTTTAATACTTATTTCGTATTCAAACAAATTACAATAATCATAGAATTCTTGTTAAACCTATTCACGCTGATGTCTTCTTAACCCAGAATAGTCTATTTCCTTATTGTGATACAAATCTAGAACAGTTGATAGAGTTTTAGAAAGCCCTTGGGCTCTACTTTAATAATCTGCAAAAAAAATGCCAAAGGAACTGAGTTTTAGCCACAAATTCTGATTTTCAAATCGCTATATCTTTGCAACCTGACGGTGTTAGCCTTTGATATTTCAAACTGTTTTATTTGAACTAAAATAATTCATAGTTTGAAATATCTAAAGTCTCTGACATTAAAATGCAAAGATATGGGGATAAGACAATCAGAGTTTGTGACAAAAACTCAATTGCTTTGCAAAATTTTAAATATTTATTACAATAGCAAGTTATTCAGCAAACAATGTGCATAATTTAAATGTGTAACTGAAACAAGAAACTGAAAATTTGCAATTTCCCTTTAAAGGTACTTGTGCAAAAAAGAGTCAAAATTTCTTCGAAAAAATTGTGCAATCTGTTTCCTTTTCTTTAAGACTTTACAAAGAGCTAGAAATGTAGCAATCCAAAGACCGGAAGTAGGTCTAAATATAGATATAGTCTGGCAAAGGTAAAATAAGGCATTCAGGCAGTATGCCTGAGGACTCAGGCAGTAGAAATAAAAAACCCTGCTTTGAACCTAAAGTGAGGGTCATAAGTTAGTTTAAAAGTCGAAAAATTTGAACAGCCTCAGACCAATACTTTTTTATTTACCTCCAAAAAACGTCCAAGCGGGTCCCAGGCCCCCCCTTGTTGGAATATGGTTAAGGATAAAGATTTGCTTTTAACAGTAATATCAAAATTTCTTAAAATAATGCTGATAATAAATAATAATAATAATAATAATAATAATGATAATGATAATAAT